AGGGGCCTGCCGTCGGGATGAATAATTGTGTGGGTTTTTTTTCCCCCTTGCCCCCTTTCTGTGGTGATCTACGTGGTACAAAGCCGACAATAACAGCCTTATTTTTTAGTCTCGTGTTTTAGATAAAAAAAAAGGGTGTAACTCCAGGTGGAAGCAGAAATGCTCAGTATTTAGTAATTTATGTCGTGGGCCAAAAATGTAGTCGTGCCTCTGCCCGCCCCGTGTCAAAATACCCCGTTGTGTTCGAAACCCCCAACTCTGCCCACGCCCGTGTCCCAGGCACGCATAGCCCTGGTGGAAAAGGGGCTGTTTAAGCAATCCGTCCCCACGGCCGGGGTTAAACTACTCTGGAAATGCGCCCTGGGTTTCAGTGGCCTGTTTGGAGAGGCGGCCTGCACACAGAAAAAAGGATTATCTTGCAAAAAAAGCACCTTTTCGGATGTATGCCATTCTTACTAGGCTAGGCCCACGCCTGTGGCTGCGTGGATGCGTTTACCTGCTTGAAGCCCTGCGGATTTCCTTGCTTGTCTAAAGAGGTAGGAGTCGCAGGAACAGGGTTTCTTGTCCAAACTTGTTTTTGTATTAAGTTGTACTTGCTTTTTTTTTCAAGTGACTGTGTAATTGCAGACCAGCAGGCAGGCTTCGTCACCTGGAAATCGCTGCAGTGTGGTTATGGAGAGGATTTAACAAAACCTTCACAGATGGAAACAAGTGATTCCACGAGTGGCTTCTTGTGGATTCATGTTGTGTTGCTGATCGCAAGCTTTTCCCAAATTTGGGGTGCTTGTGAGGTTTTATCCCATGGGCATTATTTGTCTAATAAAATGCTCTCGTGCAAAAGCATTTCCCTTGAATAGCGTGTTTTTAGGGTCTGTTTCCAAGCTGCATTCCTGTAGAAGAGAGAACTTAATTACATGAGAGACATCTGTCCTTTTCCAGATAAGGCTGAAATTAACCAAAAGTTCAAAAGTTGTCAGGGTGACAGGCAAGGACAACTGCTTATGCACACTGGGACCACACAAGTCTTTCTTTGGGAGACCAAAGGAAAATAATTCTGAATTACGTCTATCTTTAGAATTTTTCTGAAATGATCTGAAGAAACATGTTGACAGTTGCCAAATACCAAAAGAAGGTATTAATGGACCTTTTGCATTAAAAGTACTTGAACTCCAGCGGCTTTACAGTTTTCTACCGTAGTTTTTTTTCTGATGTTTGTACTTAATGGGGGTGGCACCGAGTTTCTTAAAATCAAATCTTGAATTTCTTTTGTCTTTCATTTTGCCTTCTTCAGTCCACGGTTCTCCTGTCTTTTAAAGTGCAATCTCTTTATGAAAACCAGATGGGTTTCCAAAAAGTTTGTTTTGGAGTTGCTACTATTTTTATTCTGTTGCATCTAAGTTGGATGCAGAACTCTCATGTTTTGTCAGGAGTCCTGGAGTAGTAACCAGTCATCTTGAGGCAGTAATGCCTTAAATCGCCCAGGATGCTTGTGAAGGGAATGCATTTCAAAGTATTAAACAAGCTGGAAATAGGAAGAAAGTGTCAACGGAATGGTGCTGGTCAGCAGTGAAATAGGCCACAGGACCTGCGTGATCACAGTGAAATAGGCCACAGGACCTGCGTGATTGTGGTCATTAAGTCTTTTTTGTTTCTTCTCAATAAACATCACAGAAAATGAGGATTTAAAGAGGAGACGATAACTTAATCTTGCCTGTGTTTACTGAGAGCTTCAGTGAAAACTGTGGGCCCGTATGGAGGACACAGAAAGGTCTGTCTTTGGAAATTTAATAGGCAGTAGGGAAGGTTGCAGGTGAATGATTGTAAACAGAAAACTGTACTCAGTGGAAAGTAGGAGGGACGTCAGAGTTGAGCATTACAGTCCTTACAGAAGTGAAGAAAACTTGTTTTGTTTAATGCAGCTGAGAGGGAGTCAATAAAAAGATACACAATCTTTCTCATTCAAAATGGCTAGATAGAAAAGCTATATGCAAAACACCTCTTGTCACAGAAATATCCCTAATTAATTACTCTTTGACGATTCCTAGGCCCAGTATGTTGACTAGTGACTTCACACGATGAGATTTTCAACATTCTCTTTTAGGTGTGGTTTTGCAGGAGAAACAGGACCAAGATGCATTATTCCTAGTGAAATAAAGAAACCCGATGTCGCAAAGGTAAACTATTTTACCTGAAGTGTTTTACCTTTACAATGTTTGGAATGTTATGGTATAGAAGGAATTTGCCGATATGTTTTCTGTCCATCATAAGCTATTTTTCATTATCTTATAACTGCTCTTATTAAAAGATTGTAACTGGATACAAGTAAGTGTGATACCAACACTGATGTTAATTGGTACTCATCACCCATGCAGCTTATGTTTGGGGCATTTATTGAGAAATTTCTTTGCCTAGCTATGCTTTTTTTTTTTTCCTGCAGTAGAGGATGGCAGCTTTGGAAAACTAATGTTGAGATAAGTTACCAGTACAAAAAATTAGCATTAATAAACTCTGACGTTTAGTTATAGGGTGAGTTTATGAGCTGCATTGTTAAGGACATAGAGCAAATCAGGCAAGAGTGAGTATTTCTTTATATATGTCAGATTATATATGTTCATATATATTATCATATATATATTTCTTTATATATAACCACTGCCTAGTATTTAAGCTGACTGTGGATATTTTTACTTTACAGCCTGTCAAAGTTGTTCAGTATAATATTAATACAGAAGAGCTATATTCGTATCTGAAGGAATTTATCCATATGCTGTATTTCAGGTAAGAGATACTTGGATGACAGTTATTCAAGCCTTCTGCGGTTCTTTTCTGAGTACATGGAGGTGTTAGAAGTGTGACTGGAGACTGCTGTCTAGTTGAGTAAGAAAACAGAAACAAGATTTTGCAGGTGGCTGCCTGGCTTTGTTCTTGCAGGAGAAATTCAGTGGTGCTGAGCTTCAGGTTATATTACAAAGAGTTAGTGTCCTGCAGCATTAGTTGCTGTCTAGAAATAAAAAGTATTTGGTAAGTTGCCTTTTAACTGTGGCACTCATAAAGGATGTGATAGGGGAAAGGAGTTGTACTGATTTTGGTAGGACTGAGGCTCATCTTACATCGTTGCAGAACTCTCTCCCCATGACAGTGGTTTGGAAGGAGGAATCTTAACCTGTGGAGTATTTTTACCTTAGTAATACATCTTTTTGTTGTATTTTTAGTGGATTTTAGTGAATTTCATTAGTGAATAACAAAGTTGGACTTAGGCTTTTCTCTTTACTTCCAATCCTTATTTTTACACAGTAAAAATCATCACTTGACACAGGGAAGCAAGTACTTAATTTCTGTGCCTCAGATCTTCTGGTGTGGGTTGCTTCCCCCCCCCCCATCGCTTTGTAGTTGAAATCAGGACAATTC